ACTGCGGCTTCCGTAGGAGCGGCGTTTGCCTGCGTGCGCTCGCCTTCCTCTTTTGACATAAAGGCGCGAAAACTTGGCCAGATGTCTTCTTTGCGTTCGATCAATACAGTTTGATAGTTGTCTGCCTCAAGCCGCCGAAAAATGTTCAACATTGACCTCGAATACGCGAGCCCAAGGTTTTGATCTCGCCATAGCCGAACAAATTACACAGCTCACACAGCTCTTGAGCAGCTTGCAAGGTCGCCGGATTATCTGACTCGAAGTTATCCCCGTCAGAGCAGTGGAAAGCGTACACGTTCCACAGACTCGGATGATACCGCTCTTGAATAATCTCAATGGCTTTCGTGTAGCCCGAGGAGATAAACGTGCCACCGGACTCGCCTTTGTAGAAAAACTCGTCTTCGGTAACCTCACGGCCCTCGGTATGGTGGGCAACAACGAAGCGAGTTCGACGTTCTGGTATCTTGTACTCACAAACTGATACAAAAGAAAAAAGAAGCTGCGGGCCAGATACTTTTTCATCGTATCCATTGAGCCCGAGGTGTCCATGATACACACCACCGCCGCGTTCGAGTCCGGGCGTGTATCTGTAATCATATGCCGGTAGGTTAGATCATCTTTGTGGAACGGAAAGCGCTGCTCAGCATCCCATTCGGTCTTCCCCTCACGCCGCATGACCGCGACTTTACGCCGAATGCGAGCAATCGCCGTGCGCCGTTTGTCGAGCGCACCCGGACGCCCATCTGGCGGTAGCCCTTGCGTTTGCTGAGGCGATCGGAGGGGATCTCGCGCAGAATCTTGCGTTCCATATCGGGCAGCTCAAGGTCTTCGAACATGATTTCGATCAGCTCTTCGAGCGTGACATCGGTCTCATAATAATCGACCCCGGCTTGATCACCGGCTTGGCCCTCACCTTGGCCTTGGCCCTCACCATCTGTTTTGCCAACCACTTGACCCGGTTGAGAGTTGCCATCGCCTTGGCCCACCCCTGGCGTATTCTCGCCGTAAATGAAGCGATACTCCTTCATCCCTCGGATCGGGACTTTGACGATTTTGTCTTTATTTTTGCCGATGATGGACTCTTCGGCGATCAGGTCGGCAATATTATCTCGGACTGCCTCACGGACCTTGTGTCGGTGGCGCTGACGATCAGTCGCGCTTCGGTCGGACCGCAAGGAGTCAGAGGAGGAATAGGGACGAAAGATTGTGTCTGACATGATGTTTCACCATAGCCTGTACGCATGCACGGGGTGGCTTGAATCGGTAAGAAGCACAGACCCCCTCCCCCCCCCCGCTTCTACTTTTTCATTCCCCTTTACCCCTCGTTCATCTGCAGTCTTTCCACAGATTATTGGCCGCGTATTTCAGCACCACATCCACACATGTTCGCAGTAGCCATTCTCTAGCAGACTCTGCACCATGGCCCCGTACTTATCCGTCTGTTCCTCGTCCCGGGTACGGGCTTTGGTAATGATACGGCTGATATCACGGACTGAACTCATGAGCTTCTTTTCAATTGCTTCTTTGAGCGGCTCATAGCTCTGGTATGAGACCTTCTCGTTCCGCCGACCAGCTGCCCACAGGTACGCGATCACTTCCTGTCGGAAACCCTCGGCTGCTGAGCCGATAATCGCAATCTGCTCTTCCACCGATTTGAGGAAACCCTCATCCGGCTGGAGTTCTTCGCGGGTGTTGGCATCTTTGACCTTGGTGTTGTTCACATACGCTTCAGCATGATCCAGATAATTCTGAAACAAGGTCTCAGCCTGCTCCTGGTACGAGTAGACAAACGCTTTTGTAATCTCTTTTTCCTTCCTCCACCAGCTCAAGATTTTTTGGGGGGTTTGTGGTTTGTTTTTTTTTTTTTGGTTTTTTTGTTTTTTTTTTTTTTTTTCTTTGTTTTTTTTTTTTTTTTTTTTGTTGTTTTTTTTGTGTGTGTTGTTTTTTTTTTTTGGGTTGTTTTGTGTTGGTGTGTGGTTGTGTTGTGTTTTTTGTTTTTTTGGTTTTTTGTTGTTTTTGGTTTTTATTTTTTGTTGTATTTTTGTTGGGGGGGGGGGTGCAGCGTACTGGAGAAATTCAAGATACATCTTCCGCATGTCGTCAGCCATGTCCTGGTCTTTGATCATGCTGATCATGGATTCGCGCACGTTAATCGGGTTAATACACTTGCCCGATTCTGCCAACGCATTGTCGAGCGCCTTCATGATAAAACGAGTCGAGATACCATTCATGCCCTCCCGCTTGGCTTCGTCACGTAACTCTTCAATATTAATCTTCTTCGTCCGGCCTTTTTCGACCACTTCTTCGCCATTATATAGGCTCAGTTTGGTCATCAGGTCGCACTTTGGAGTCGGTTCGAGTCGAGATAAAACCGCAAACATCGACGCCATCTCGATCGTATGCGGAGCCACGTGGCATCAAGACGATTTCTGCAAGAATTTTCTGATAGATCTTGACCTCTTCAGACACGCGTAAATTATATGGAACCTTGACCACCACAATACGGTCAAGATTGGCTTCGTTGGTATGGTCGGCTTTGAACTTTTGCCATTCGGCTTCGTTCGAGTGGGCAACAATGACCGAGTCTATATACACTGTGCCGTGCCGTCCTGGCGCAGGGACAAACTTCTCTTGCGTGGCCGTAATCATGGCGTGCAGGTATTCGGTCTCGTTCTTAAACACCTCAATGAATTCGACCATGCCGCGGTTACCGACATTAAAGGCACCGTTCAGCTCCAGCACGCGGGGATCACCCTCAGAGTACATGTCGAGCTTCGAGATATCCTCTGAGCCAATCAATACAGACGTATCTTGGTTATTGGGATCAACCGGCGGGACAACGCCAACGCCCCGCCGATTACGCTTGGAAAATTCCACTTTGACGATGGGGAATTCTTCATAGCGTGCGCCAACTCTTCCTTGAGTCGATGACGGCAAATGGGGCACAAATCTCCCTCGATCTGCACTTCCAACATCTTCTCGAATTCTTTGCGTAAATGGCGCGGAATAAGGTGTAGCGGCTCCTCAAACATTGGGCAGTCTGCAATGGCATAAATCGGCTCAGCTTCTTCCAAACCCCGCTGGAGTTTTTCAACGAGTGAGCTTTTGCCCGATCCGACTGGCCCCATCAGATATAGCACTTGGCGGCTCTCTTCGCCTTTGAGCGACGCCGAATGAAAATAGCGAACTATTTGTGAGGCTGTTCGCTCAATGCCAAAAAATTCATCTTTGAAGAAGTTATAGACCTTGATCGGCTCATCTTTGTACAGCCGCTTGACCCGCGGATCATCGGATTCGGTGATCTCCGACATGCCCTGGGCGGTCATCATGTTGTACAGACGATTGTGTGACAGCCGGGTCATGCCCGGGTTCTCCCGGACTTTTTCAAGGTAATCGATCAATGTTCCCTGCCACTTCGTGCTGTCTCGATTGGCTCGATCATCCTTGATCAGTCGCTCAAACGTATTCCTGTTAATATCATCCATCTCCGCCCCCTAAACATTGAATGGTTAGGTTTCAGGTTACGTAGCCATTCCACATAAGGACTCTAATACGTTCATTATATCAATGCTCACGGGGGGCGAGGAAGACAGGCGGGTGCTGCAGGAAGAAGGTCTCGGTTGTGTCGCCGTCCCCGTAACGCAACTGATAAGCACAGTACATCAGTATATCATAGGAGATGAAGAAGCCAGGGAGAAAATTTTGTGCGAAGAAAGGGCCAAAACGAGAAGAAGATAGTCCCAACGGGAATCGAACCCGTGTTACCGACGTGAGAGGCCGGCGTCCTAACCGCTAGACGATGGGACCCAAAAGATGAGTTGAGAGCTGAGGTGGTAGGACTCGAACCTACAATAACCTGTTCCAGAGACAGGTGGCTTACCAATTAGCCTACACCTCAGTGAGTTCAAAGGTAAAGAAGAGACAGACTGAAGTCAAGCGGAAACGTTAGTGTTTCCATCTCTGACAGTTGTTAATGCGGTATCAAGCCGGGCCAGCGTCTGCTCCTTGCCCAATACCTCCATGACCTCAAAAATACCAGGACTTGCCGTGCCGCCCGTGAGCGCAACGCGGATAGGCTGAGCAATCTTGCCAAGTTTGAGCTCGAGCTCTTCCATCAGACTGGTGAAGACGGCATGCAGGGCTTCCTCAGTCCAGTCTGGTGCCGTCTTCAGTTTGCCACGGACTTTTTCGACGATTGTTAAGCCGTCCTGGGTCAAAAATTTCTTGGCCGCTTTTTCTTCAAAGGTGACTGTTTCCGTGAGGTAAAAATGGCTTGCCGCAGCCAATTCAACTAAAGTTTTGGCCCGTGGCTGGAGGGTTTTCAGCATACGGCTGAGCTGGACATCATCCGGCAGGCTATAGCCTTTATCAGTCAAAAAGGGTTTTACCTCTTGGGTAATGTGAGCGGGCTCACGCGCTTGCTGGTATTGAAAATTGAGCCATTCAAGTTTCTCAGCGTTAAATACCCCGGCGGATTTACCAACGTCAGCAAGGTGAAATTTTTGGATGAGTTCAGCTCGGGAGAAGATTTCTTCATCGCCATGTGACCAGCCTAAACGGGCAATAAAATTGACCAATGCATCCGGTAGATAGCCCATTTCACGGTAGGCTGTGACTGAAGTTGCGCCATGCCGTTTACTGAGCCGTACACGATCAGGGCCGAGAATCAATGGTAAATGGGCAAAGGCAGGTGGAGTTGCATCAAGCGCCTGAAAAATGAGGACTTGCCGAGGCGTATTGCTGAGATGGTCGTCGCCACGCACGACATGGGAAATCCGCAAATCTGCATCATCGAATACAGAACAGAAATTATATGTTGGCGAGCCATCGGAGCGGACGAGAATCAGGTCATCCAGTTCTTGATTCTGAAACACGACGCGGCCTTTAATGAGGTCATCAATGCTAGTCTCGCCTTCTTTTGGGCTCTTAAAGCGGACGGTAAACGGCCGCGTATCACCTGGCTCAGGAGTGTAATCCCGACACGTTCCATCATAGGCAGGTTGGCGTCCTTCAGCCTGAGCAGTTTCACGTTTTGCCTGTAATTCTTCCGGGGTGCAGTAGCAGCGGTAGGCTTTGCCTTGACTCAGAAGTCGCTCGCCAGCCTCTTCATATAAGGCTGTGCGTTGGCTCTGAAAATACGGGGCCTTCATCACCGTCTAGCTCAAGCCAATGCAGCGATTCCAGGATTTCATTCTGAAATTCTTGGGTGGACCGTTGACGATCAGTATCATCAATCCGCAACACCAAAGTGCCATTATGTTCTTTAGCCGCTAGGTAGGCGAACAGAGCTGTCCGGGCACCCCCGATGTGCAGATAACCCGTTGGACTTGGAGCAAAACGTGAACGAACAGTTGTCATAGCGGAACGCTACCAGCGAGGTGAGGAGCAAGTCAACGCCAGGCAAAAAAGAAAGTGCCTATAGGGGTTTGAGTTCTGTGTTATCATCAGCTATGTTTCCGCCCAGACCGAGCCGATAGCTCAGGCGGTAGAGCATCTGCCTTTTAAGCAGAGGGTCCCGGGTTCGAGCCCCGGTCGGCTCATACTCTCACCCGTTTCTCCATACGTCCCCGTCGTCTAGCCTGGCCTAGGACACCGGCCTTTCACGCCGGCGACACGGGTTCAAATCCCGTCGGGGACATCCTTCCACTATGCGTACCAGATTCGTACCAGGGGAAAGGCCGCTGGCTTGCCTTTTCCCCCCGAAGCCGTATACAAAACGTGCCTGGTAGGGTGGGCAGTAGAAGCTTCTGGTCTTCCCCTTTTTTCATTTCATCGCAAAACTCATCGCACAGAAGGAATAGCCATGCCACATAATCTTTTTAATACGTTACAGGCATTTGATCGGGGGAACGGCCAGACTGGTCAGTTTTACTCTTTACCTCAATTAGAGAAAGAGGGCGTTGGGCAGATCTCGCGCCTGCCGGTGAGTATCCGGATTGTCCTCGAATCTGTGTTGCGTAACTACGATGGCAAACGGATTGAGGAGAAGGATGTCCGAAACGTGGCCAGTTGGGGGCCGAATGACACGCGGACGGCGGAATTCCGTTTACGGTTGCGCGTATTGTCTTGCAGGACTTTACTGGTGTTCCTTTGCTCGTTGACTTAGCCGCGATGCGTTCGGCAGTTGCCAAGCTGGGCAAAGACCCAAAGCTCATTGAGCCACTCGTGCCTGTGGACCTCGTTGTCGATCATTCGGTACAGGTCGATTATGCTGGAGTTGGCAATGCCCTGCAGCAGAACATGCAGAAGGAATTTGAGCGCAATCAGGCACGCTATCAGTTCCTGAAATGGGGCATGCAAGCGTTTGATAGCTTCAAGGTTGTTCCACCCGGTATTGGCATCGTTCACCAGATTAATCTCGAATACTTGGCCAAAGGGGTGCTGGAAAAAGACGGGGTGTACTATCCAGATACGCTTGTCGGTACCGATTCGCACACGACCATGATCAACGGTATTGGTGTGGTTGGCTGGGGCGTTGGGGGTATTGAGGCTGAAGCGGGTATGTTGGGCCAACCTGTTTATTTTCTGACTCCAGATGTCGTCGGTATGCATCTGACGGGCGCACTGCGAGAAGGCGTGACCGCAACCGACTTAGTCCTGCACTGCACCGAGATGCTGCGGGCAGCAAAAGTCGTGGGCAAGTTTGTTGAGTACCATGGCGAAGGAGCCACCAACCTGCCGCTGACCGACCGCGCGACTATCGCCAATATGGCTCCTGAATATGGGGCGACTATGGGGTTTTTCCCTATCGATGAGGAAACGTGTCGTTACCTCCAAGCGACTGGTCGGACAGATGAGCAAGTCGACGCATTCCGCAACTATTTCCAAGCCCAAGGTATGTTTGGCATTCCGGGCAAAGATGAGTGTGTATACAGCCAAGTCTTAGATCTCAATCTTGCCGATGTCCAGCCAGGTGTGGCTGGCCCCAAACGGCCCCAAGACCGGATCAATCTTCCCGAATTAAAACAGACCTTTGAGGCGCTATTTCAGAAACCAGTGAGTGAAAGTGGCTATAACAAAACCCAGGCAGAACTTGGCAAACGCTATCCTATTAATGGAGCCGGTAATGGAGCTGGAGACCTCGGCCATGGTGACGTCCTGATTGCGGCCATTACCTCGTGTACCAATACTTCCAATCCGAGCGTCATGCTGGCGGCAGGCTTATTGGCCAAGAAAGCAGTCGAAAAAGGGCTGACCATTCGGCCAGCCGTCAAAGCCTCTTTAGGTCCAGGTTCCCGGGTGGTGACCGCATACCTCCAAAAAACCGATCTCCAACAGTATTTGGACAAGCTCGGTTTCAATCTTGTTGGCTATGGCTGCACGACGTGTATTGGGAATTCCGGACCGCTTGATCCCAAGATCGAGGAAGTGGTGACGACAAATGACCTCATCACCGCCAGCGTTTTAAGCGGCAATCGGAATTTTGAGGCACGTGTGCATCAAAATATTAAGGCCAACTTTCTGATGAGCCCACCGCTCGTCGTGGCTTTTGCTCTAGCTGGCCGGGTTGATATTGACATGCATACACAGCCACTTGGAACGGACACTGCTGGCCAGCCGGTTTACCTGCGTGATATCTGGCCCAGCTCTTCAGAAGTCCAGGCGCTTATCCACGCAGCTCGCGATCCGGAAACGTATCGTGGATTTATATGCTGATCTCAACGCAGATAACCCGCTGTGGAATGATATCTCCAGCAGTACTGGTAACCTGTACGAGTGGGACACGGCTTCAACCTATATTCAAGATCCGCCTTTTTTTGAAGGTTTTGGCCTGGAACCAGGCACAATCAGCACTATTACTGGCGCCCGTCCTCTGGCTGTGTTGGGGGATTCTGTCACGACCGATCACATCAGTCCGGCTGGGGCTATCAAACCGACCTCTCCAGCCGGGCAATATCTCCAAGAAAACGGGGTCGCAGTCCAGGATTTTAATAGCTATGGGTCGCGGCGTGGCAACGATAAGGTGATGACGCGCGGGACCTTTGCCAATGTGCGGATTAAAAACCTGATGGTTCCTGGTACGGAAGGTGGGCTGACCAAATACTATGCCAATGGGGGACCCGGCGAACAGATGGACATCTATGTTGCTGCTGTCAAATATCAGTCAGCGGGTGTTCCACTGGTCGTTCTGGCTGGCCAAGAGTATGGAACGGGCAGTTCGCGTGACTGGGCGGCAAAAGGCACCAGCCTGCTGGGAGTACAAGCCGTTATTGCGCAAAGCTTTGAGCGTATTCACCGCAGTAACCTGGTCGGTATGGGCGTGTTACCGTGCCAATTCAAAGAGGGCACTACCACGCAAACTCTTAACCTAGAGGGTAATGAGACCTTCGATGTGGTGGGATTCGACGCCAACCTTCAGCCTCAGCAGGATGCCACGCTTGTCATCCACCGAGCGGGTGGAGAGACGCGAGACGTGCCAGTCACGGTCCGAATCGATACACCGATAGAAATCGAATATTACCGGCACGGTGGTATTCTCCAGTATGTGCTGCGGCAATTAATTGCTCAGGCGTAGAGAGTCGGTGTCGGGACGGTTCGCGAACCGTCCCGACACAAGAGCCTCATACCAGAAAGACTGCTAGCCTTTTTTCTGTTTCTTACCTGAGGCGAAGCGCTTATTGTGCGATTCGATCACATCGTCGGTCAGGTCAATGTTGCGTTTTCCGTACAGGACGACCGTATTATTGCCTTCGAGGATGATGGTATAGTCGCCTTTTTCTCCTAACTCGGCCACGATCTGGTGAAGTTCAACCAGAATCCTGCCTGACAGCTGACGGTCTCGTATTTTTAGATCCTCTTCAGCATCTTTGTACTGACGTTCGAAGGACCGCATGCCATCGCGGTAATCCCGTGCTAGGGCCTGTTGTTCCTCTTCTCTGAGGACCATCCCCTTCTTTTCAATTTCATTTTTGAGCTTTTCGACCCGATTTTTTTGTTCGACCAGGCCCTGCTCCGAGCGTTTGGCTTCCTTCTTCAGCTGCTCTTGGGCTTTCTTGCCGCCCTCGCTCTCGGCCATTGCCCGGACGAGGTCAACATAGCCAATTTTGATTTTGCCATTTGCACTTGCATTGCCTTCCTGCGCTGCTCCTATTGCAAGGGGAAGTGACAGCGACATGAGCAAACAGCAAAGCACATCCTACGCATGGTATCCTCCTACGATCTGACTGGATTCGATGAACACTGCGGACGCCAACTCGTCTCCGTCTTTATTAAGCACAGGATTCCGGATCTGTCAGCCGTCCCTCTTGCATTTGGCTATTTCGATTTCTATGATCCCGTCCCATGAACTGGGCGAAAGAAACGGGTAATACATGATGGGACGGCCCAAACAAATCCGGCAATTCCTCATAGTCCCGCTGTGCGTCTTGTCTTTTGCCTCTCTTGGCTCAGCGGCTGATGATCTTCTCGATCATTACCTCTCAATGCCTGGCTCGTACGCTTTTGTCCGCCGCGTGCCTGAGGACGCCAAGCCTGATTCTGTGAGGCTGACAGTCTTTGAGGACTTTTTGTGCCCAGCCTGTTACCAAACGGTTATCCAGATTATTCCCCAATTACAAAAAAAATACGGTGCGCGCCTCAGCGTGCAATTTTTGGGCTATCCGTTCGTCCATCCAAGCTCTGCTATTCCTGCCCGCGCCTATATTCTAGCAGAAGAGTTCGGGCTGCGTAAAGAAATGCAGCAGGCGCTCTTCCGAGTCCAATTCGAAGAGCAACTTGATATTACCAGCCAAGATGGTCTTGCCCGAGTGGCCTACAGTATTGGCCTTGACCCGGAGCTACTTTTTGCTCGTTTAGACAACAAAGGCGGCGAGGACGAAGTCAAGCAGATTCTTGCCTTAGGAAAAAGCTACCGGATTGATGCGGTACCGGGCCTGATTTTTGATGGCTGGATACGAGCGAATGCAATTTCTCAAACGAATCTTGAAATGATTATCGACGGGATTTTAGAAAAAAAGGCGACTAAAAAATAGGCTCTAAAAACAAGTCTGACATAATATCCCTGACATGTCTGATACGAGGAGAGGTCCGAATATCGATGCCGCATGCGCACGCAAGCCCCCTCCGCCAGGAGGTGAAAAAAGCCTCTGATCAGACTATTGACCATTTGCCTTGTTTTCTGCCATTTTTTTAGCTACATACGACGTTACCCCCTGGTAACAGGGACTCGTCCAGTATGGACGGTAAGGAGAGAGCGACACTATGGAACGTGCTCCACCAGGTACTCAGTCATAAGACAAACCGAAGAACAGGTATGTACATCTGCTGGAGAATTGGAAAAACTCCAAACTCCACCCTGAAGGAGGGAATAGTATGAAGCTGAATAAGCTAGTTGGAACTGGCTGCGCCGCACTTGCTGCTTGCGTGCTCATGGCCGCTCCAGTGAAAGCCGACGTCAAAGCTGGCGACGTCATCACCAAAGACAATATGGCCGATGCTGGCGATATGATTATCCCAGCCATGAAGTGGTATCTCGAACAGGGCATGCCGATGAAGATCATCGACACGATCAAAATCCCGCTGCCGAAGCTCTTCAAAGAGGCGACAGAAAAATATTCCGGTCAGGTCGAAATTTCGCCTGATGGCCGTGAAATGTTCAACTTTGTGTCTGGCGTGCCATTCCCCAATATTGATCCGAACGATCCCCTTGCTGGCGCCAAGATCATGTGGAACCAGGAGCAGAAACCCCAGTACGTGGACAACGTGGGCACCGAGTGGATCACTGAGTTGGTCAATAACAAGGGTGAACTCGAGCGTACCTACGGTTCGCAGTTCTGGCGGCGTATGATGTGGACCGGTCGTTTGTACACCGATCCGAAGCCTGTCATCCCGCACAACCCTCCAATGCGCTACACCGAGCAGTTCGGTCCCCTGTTCATCCCGAACGACCTGAAGGGCGCTGGCGTGTTGAATAACCGTTATCTCGGCATGGATACCCCAGACGATTCATACATGTACCTGCCTGAGCTCCGTCGTGTGCGTCGTATTAGTGTTGCCAACCGCAGTGACGCTTTCTGGGGCACTGACATGGACCTTGACTCCCTGTGGGGTTTCAATGCGAAGCATTCCTACTGGACTTTCCGTCTGCTGTCGGACAAGACCATCCTCGCCCCTGTTCACATCGGTCTGTACGGGACGCGCGAGATCTGGTGTGCCGAGCCGGATGGTACCAGCGGTACCAAGGCTTTCCTGCCGTGTAACATCAACTGGGAAAAGCGTGCTGTGCATGTCGTCGAAGGTATTCCTTCGGCCTATAGCCAGTATGCCTACTCCAAGCGCATTATGTATATCGATAAAGACTTCTGGGGCATGAGCTTTGCCGAAATGTATGACCAGGGTGGTGAGTTGTGGAAAATCTGGTTCAACATGTTCAACTACGTCAAGACGCCGTATGAAGGCTATCCGACCAAACCGATTGAGGGCGCCGAATACAACTACGAAGACGTCTGGGCCTTCACTCCACATGGACAGGGTGCTGACGTGCAGTTGGCCCATTCCACCAAGTGGGATGCACCTTCCGGTTACGCAAAGAGCAAAGAAGAGTGGACCCAGGAATGGTACTTCAACGAAGCCACTGAAATTAACACCCCAGAAGCCTTCTCTGTGAACTTTCTGATCCGTAGCGCTCGCTAAGGCTGGGTATTTTGAGAGGCAACCACCTGGTTGCCTCTTTTCTCTCTACATCACTCTCCTTACTGTTCATTACTCTTCGCTCAGCGTGCAAGTCCGTCTCAAACTCATGTTGCACTGTGTTGCAGATACTGCTGGCTTCCCCTCGGTTCTCTTTTTTGCTACTTTAGTGTCCTCACATCTTTATAGGAAAGAAGGGAACATATGGCAGAAGAACAACAGGTTGCAGAAGAAAAATCACTTGGTAAGCTTGCTTGGGGCTACGTTGGGGTTGGGGTGTTATGGGTCTCCCTGCTTGTCGCCGGTATTGCGTTTGAACGCTTAGGACTGACCTCACGCCTCTTCTCTGGGGTCCTGTCTGGAGAAGTTGGTAGCCTGCGTGAGCAAAATGCGGAATTTGACAAGAACCTCAAAAGTGTCACCCAAGAACGCGATGTGTTCAGTCGCCGCTCTGACACCTTTCAACGCCAGCTTGAGCAAGAGAAGAATAAGGTTGCAGAGTTTGCGAAAAGAGCGGGATGACCTCAAATCCGCTGCCGCCCCGCCGCCTGCTCCTGCTGCAGAAGCGGTGGCTGAATCCGCGTCCGAAACTCCATAATCTTATGCCAGGTGGCCAGGGCATCACTGAAGGTCAAGCGATATGATCGAAGTCCAGAACGTCACAAAGTATTACGGTCAGGTGCGAGCTCTGCATAATGTCTCCTTCGATGTGAAACCGGGAGAGATTGTTGGTTTGCTAGGCCCAAATGGATCAGGAAAAACAACCTTGATGCGTATCCTGACTGGTTTCTTTCCGCCAACCGAGGGGAAAGTACTTGTGGCTGGACATGATGTTGAAAAAGCCTCGTTACAGATGCGCCGAAAACTCGGCTATCTCCCCGAAAACGTTGTCCTCTATCCGGATATGTCAGTCCGGGCTTTTCTCGGTTTCAGCGCTCGGGTGAAAGCCTCCAAGGGTACTGAGCGACGCAGGCAGGTCGCGCGGGTGTTGGAGGAATGTGGACTGGCTCATATGGCCCGGCGCCAAATGGGAACGTTGTCAAAAGGCTACCGGCAACGGGTCGGTTTGGCCCAGGCACTTTTGTGTGAACCAGAAGTGCTGATCCTGGACGAACCCACGATTGGTCTTGATCCAAACCAGCTCATTCACATGCGCGAGTTGATTCGGGGATTAGGAGGAAAAACAACTGTTCTCCTGTCGAGCCATATTCTGGCGGAAGTGGCCCAAGTGTGCCATCGAGTTGTCATTATCAATACGGGTCAGATCCTGGCAGAAGATACGCCTGAGGGCTTGAGCAAACGCCTCCAGGGGGCGACTCAAACCCGAATCCGAGTCGAAGGCCCGGCGCAAGAAGTCCAAAATGCACTCCGTGCCCTACCTGGGGTGAGTGATGTGGTATCTGAAGAGCAAGAGGCCGAGGATCTGTCGGGTCAGATGTATGTCGTCCTGTCAGAAGATAGAAGCGTCACGCATGAGATCGCAAAAACCGTTGTGAATCGTGGTTGGCAACTTCAGGAGCTCAATCCTGTCACTGCTGGTCTCGAAGAGCTCTTTGTCCGTCTCACAAAAGAAGAACAACGCCCGGCTGCTTGATACGCTATCGTGCGTAATGTACATAATCGTACATAATCGTACATAATCGTACATAATCGTAGAGATGACACGGGCATGTCAGCCGTCCAAATTCAGATAGTTGATCCAATACTATCAGTTGAGAGGTACAGTATGGGCCAGGTGGGGTCGTTCTTCGTCAACTCTCGGGCCGTCATGGCCAAAGAACTTCGTTCGTATTTTCTGTCTCCATTTATTTACCTCGTAACGGCAGTGTTTCTGTTGGTCAGTGGCTATTATTTTTATACCGATCTGATTTTTTACGTCCAGTTTGGTTTTGGTCTGAATATTATCGAGAACTTTTGGCAGCTGCTGTTTACCGATATTCGGCTGATGCTCCTCCTGGTGACCCCATTTTTAACCATGCGATTACTTGCCGAGGAAAAACGGCTTGGCACCATTGAACTGTTGCTGACCTATCCGATGCGCGATATCGAGCTTTTTCTCGGCAAATTTGTTGCCTGCAGCATAGCAACGCTCTTTATGCTGTCGTTCACGGTGGTGTATCCGTTTCTGTTGTACCAGGTGCAGCCGTTTAATTGGACAATCGTGCTGGCTGGTTATACTGGACTGGCGCTCATCTCGCTGGCTTGCATTGCCTGTGGTTTATTCATTTCTTCGCTGACAGACAACCAAGTGGTAGCAGGATTCGCCGCTCTGTGTGTTTTATTATTCTTTTGGATTCTGAGCTGGAATGAAGGCGCAATCAGAGAGGGACTCCTGTATTCTTTAGCCCAAGCCTCTATGGTCACCCATTTTCAGGGTTTTGCCCAAGGTTTTATTGACTCAAAAGAAGTCACATTTTTTATTGTCTTTGTCCTCTTCTTTAGCTTTCTGACCTTGCGTTCCCTTGAGTCTCGACAGTGGAAGGGGCGTCGATGAGTACCAATCTGCGCAATATACTCAAGCTCGTCATTGGATCGATCGGATTCCTTGGCATGCTCATCGCCTTTCAGGCGGTTCTCAGCCAATTCAATCACCGCATTGATCTGACCTTACAAAAGAAGTTTACCCTTGCCCAGCGTACCCAACGGGTCATTTCAAACTTGAAACAGGATGTTCAGGCGATCGCCTTCATTCACCCTGATCGTCCGGAAAACTATTTTCTGGATGACATGCTGGGCCGCATGAAATCCCTGTCTCCACATTTCAGTTATACGATCGTAGATATGAATCGGAGCCCTGCCATTGCGCGCCAATACGATGCCAGGCAGTACGGGACGATTTTCTTTGAGTCAGAGGGGAGGAGACGCAAGTCTTCGCTTAACGCTGGGGAAAACGACGCTGTTGCTGCGCTGTTATATGTCGTCCGCAACGAGGAAAAGATTGTTTACTTCCTGACGGGGCATGGCGAAGGAGATCTGAGCGACCCTCAGCCTGAAGATGGCTACACCAAACTGCGTGGCGCATTAGCAGACGAATTTTATACTGCAAAAACTCTCTCCTTGGCTGAGAGTGGGGGAGTCCCGGACGATGCAGCAATTGTCGTCTTGCTCGGACCAAAAGCCTCGTTGCTGCCCTTTGAACTCGAAGCCTTGGACGCCTACTTGAAGCGTGGCGGGGCTGTCTTTGTCCTCATTGAGCCAAAGAGTTCTCCGACCCTAGTCGATTTTCTTGAAGAACGTGGTATTTCTCTGCCGCCCTTTATTGCGATTGACCCCTCAAAACGCCTCTATTCCGGTGAATTGGTGACCTTTCGTGCTTCACGGACGTCAATCACCCACGACATGATTAAATCTGTCAACTCTCCACCTATCTTTTCTTTCTCGCGGGTTGTCGAGGTCCGTCAAGATCTTGATAAAGGCATCACTGCTGCGCCTATCCTGGCCACTTCCGGGTCGGGCTGGGGGACGGCAGAGGAGGAGATTGCGCCTGGCCAATATATCGCCTTTGTCCGAGGACGCGATATGAGCGGTCCGGTCCCTGTTGCAGGGGAAGTCTTTCTCGACAATGGTGCGGGTCAGGACCCTGGTCGTATCCTGGTTTTTGGCGACGCTGATCTCGTCCACAATGGCTTGCTCGAACAGGGAGGCAATCGGGACTTGTTTGTGAATGCGGCCAACTGGTTGGCCGCAGATGAATGGCAAATAGGCCAACGGGAAGCAAAACAAGCACCCGGGGTGAAACAATTCTTTCTGGGTGCTGAAGATGGACAACGCATCCTAATTGTGAGCACGATCGTCATGCCCAGTTCGTTTTTGCTCCTGGGTATTGGCATCTTCGTGTGGCGGAGGCAGCGAGGATGACGTGGCGTCGCATCGGGGTGTATTACGGGCTGGCTATTGTGTTTGGCTCCTATTTTGTCTTCTTTCTGTGGGATGCTGTGGGTGACGGGCCTCGCCTGGGTCCGAATGTATCTGTTCGGAGCCATTTTTTGCCCTTTACTGAAGAGTCGATCCAGCAACTCCAGCTCCAGCGCGAGGGGCAGGTCATCACGTGCCGGAAAAATGGTGAAATATGGCAGGTGCTTGAGCCACAAGGGGCGAATGTCACATCGAGCCTGGTGAGTGGCTTAATTGAAAGCTTAACGCTCGAAAGAGAAACGAGCAGCGTCAACGAAAATGCAACCGACTTGACCTCCTACGGGCTTGAGCCGCCACATGCGATAATCGTGCTGACTGGAAAAGATGATCAAGAGTTGGCAAAGATCTCGATTGGTGGTCACAATCCGACTTCAACTGCCGTGTATGTCAAAAAAGAAGGTTCGCCGCAGGTCGCACTCCTCGGTTATAACGCTCGGTATTACGAAGAGCTCCTGTTTGAAGCGGCGACAGGATCAACTCTCGGCATTGGCCCAACACCGGCCCTAAGCCCAGAAACAGCGGTCGCTGAGCCGGCCATACCGGCAGCGCCGAGTGTACTCGATAGTGAAGCTGCGGATACGTCTTCCAGCAATGAGGCAGCAGATACCGCTCAAGAGCAGCAAGGAGAGTGACGAGGATCCTGTGGCTTTTCTTTCCCATCCGCTCGTCTCTCAGATGCAAGCTTTTCAGATTTTCAGCATTTGTCCTGTGCCTATCCTGCCTCTTTCTCCTGAGCAGTATGCTGAGTAGTTGTACGCCGCCACAAGAAGACAATATTGCACAGGATCTAGGAACCTACCTTGAGAAAAAGAAGGGCTGGCAGGAGCCGGAGGGCAGAATCAATGCAGCCATTGAAATTGTCCGCCGGGATCAATTTGTTCACGATGATCTGACCATCAATGTCTTAAGTCCCTTTGTTGGCGTGGCTGAGGAACATGTACGAGCGCTTGAGGAATATTTACCCAAGACGCCACCCGTAGCGAACATCCACCAGCAGTACACCGAGGGGTGGCGGGCGCATCAATTTGCCCTTGCCGCGCTTGTTGATGCGGCACAGCGGCAAGATTATGTCCAGCTCGCTACGGCTCATACAAACCTCTTACAAGCCCAGCGTACGGTTCTCAGTACCATGACGACCCTCACCCAATTTGCCGAACAGGCTGGGGTGATAGAGCCGACCCCTGTCGAAGAAGCAGCGCCTTCCTCTTCCACCTCTGGTGAAATACTTGTGCAGTAGTCTCTTATGTAAAAAAGACTTTTGAGGATGTAAATAAACTTGCACAAGGTTGAGCTTTTCGCTATAAGGCGCTGAGTACATACGTGCTGCACTTTTCACAGCTGAGGGGTAGGGATTTTTGATAGCGCATACATACAGGATAACTTTGAAGGGGCATAAGAGAGCAGAGCCACGACATGTGGAAGGAGGTCTGCCTGGTCACATGCTTAATTATTCAGGAAACTGGAAAAGGAGGTGCGTAGACAGGAGGAACTTTTCTGTGCTGATTATTGAGGAGGGCGATAATGGGGTGTGAGGATATCAGACTATTGCAGAAGAAACGTTTTCAAGGAGGGCATATGATAAGAAGGGCAACAACACTTGGGCAACGCATAGCCCTAGGTGTACTGGTAGGCGTTCTCGGGCTGCTGACTTGGAGCGGCACAACCTGGGCCTCGACCCGCTTAGCACCGGACATCGAGATTCAGGCCTGGTACCGTATGCGGCATACGTTTCAGACCGACACGGACCATTTTGAATGGGCGCAGTGGCGGAATGAAGGTTTTATCTGGCTGACGTACGACAATGTTTACAAAAATGGCAAATTCTTTGATACGATCGACGTCCCGATACCGCTGGTGGACAGTATCAACCTGAGTGGCCGCTACCGCTCGCGGGTCGATCCGACCTTTGTCATTCGTAAACATTACAGGAATCTGTACGACCAAGAGCATACCGACAATTGGCTGGTGCCGGAGAACGGCTTTCGGGATGTGTACGCGGACATGGAGCATGGCTACATCGGCCCCGGCAAGCTGTACACCCGCTGGGGGTATCAGCAGATCGTGTGGGGTGAGTCCGACCTGTTCCGCTCGATTGATATCGTGAACCCGCTCCGGATCGATCAAAACTTCGGGGTGGGCGAAAAGTTTGACGAATTCCGCAGCCCGATTCTGGCTCTCAAAGCCTTATATGACATCGGGAACATCAGCACCTATATCTCCGGTGCCGGCCTCGAAGCCTTCTACACCCCACGCTTCCGGACCGGTGCGACCGACCTGGTGCTCGAAGATGGCTGGCGGATACAGAGGCAACTGCGCGGCTGTGAAGACCCCAACAACCCAGGCCGACTGATTGACTACACCCTGGACAACTGTGAAAATTCGCGCCGATTTATGCTCTATCGACCCCACTGGGTCGGCCACCGGCGTATGCGGCATCCGTGGTCGCTCAACGTGGTTGGCAACAACGCCACCTCCGACTCGGTCGACTTCGCGTGTGCGACAAACCGGTGTGCGCCTGACGTGCCGGGCGATCGGATTAGTACGATTGTCAACTTGCCTAAAGGGAATTCACATCACCACAGTCGAGGTCACTGGCATGCGGCCGGGGCTCGCTTTATCGGCAGCACGCGGTTTAACCTGGACTTCTCCCTCAACTACCTGTACGTCCCGTATACCTTT